AAGTTAACATAGGAGTTACTTAGTCTCCGTCACACTCTAGCTTGAGTAGTAGAGGTACCAGGCGGCGGAGGCCGGCTGATCCCCTTGATTCGCCAATGTTTGTTGGCTATTAACCCAAGGAGTGGTTACCTAGTAGGAATAGGGGTTTGAGTGCCCCTGTTTGCCAAAAAACAGGCGGTCTACTCAAACCTTTTAGGTTCCATACCAAGTTTGAGGGAGTGACTATGAGTTAACGTTGGTGTTACCCAGTCGTCGTCACTCTTGCTTGAGAAGTAGAGGTACCAGGCGGCGAAGGCCGGCTAGACCCCTTGATTCGCCAATGTTTGTTGGCTATTAACTCAAGAGGTACCCCCTGCATTTATCCCAAGTAATACAGGCGGTCATCTGACTCAGATGTCGACTGCTACCACTGGTTTGGTTAGTGATAGAGTTATCCTTGTCTCAAAAACGGCTACGTGGTTGCCCTTGGGGACAGTCGTATAGGTGCCGTGTAATTAGTTTATAGAGCAATGTTCCACCCAAAAGGGAGCTGCTCTCTGCGACGAATTTCATCCGGAGGGATGCCGCCGGACGCCTGCTATGATGTTGGGACAGGTCGTATTAGTTTAAAGATTGGATCAGTTGGCTTGGCGCCTGGACTGATCATTCGGCTTGTGGCCTTGGTTAGTTCTTGGTGAACGTAGGTGCTAAGTAAGAGGAGGGTAGCCGCCTGTTTAGGCACAGGGTCGGCCAGGCCCTAATCTTTTTTAGCTAAGTATAAGGGGGGTGGCTGTGTGCTTTGGAACCAGTCGGCCCTCTTCTATGGAGAGTAGCCGACTATATGTCCAGACGGCATGCCCCTCTAGTGATAGAGTAAAATAATCAAAGCAGAGAGTAGCCGACTATAGAGGTACCGCTGCTATACTCAATGGAGAGTAGCCGATTGTAAAGGTACAGCGGCATGCCCCTCTGATGATAGAGTGAAATACTCAATGGAGAGTAGCCGACTGTAAAGGTACAGGCGACATGCCCCTCTGAATTAGTATCAAGTATTGAAATAATTTCAAGTGTTAGAGTAGATAGATCACTTAGCTCCCTTCCATGGAGGATTGGTGACTCTACTTTCTTCGAATGGGAACAATTGTTTTAATGTGGTTTGCAACCTTGCTGTTCGGCCCACACATTTTCTGCCGGTCTTTATCCCCTTAGTGAAATTAATGAGGGTCGACTGCTTTCATAGCTTCGAGACTTCGTCGTATAGGGGGCCGACTACTATTCATGCCGCCTCTCTTGCTTGATAGATTGTCACACAAATAAGTGGAGGACGATCTTCAGTAAGGTGTCACCTAAACAGAAGGGAGATGGTCTTCAATAGGGTGCCGCCTAAACAGCCGGTTTTACTAACCTTAGGCAATTTTTTTTTTTTACTTGCAATCATAATAATGATAATGTGCTTATGGTGACAACTCACACATAAGATGAGACTTCCTGAACAATCATGCGGCAGGTTTTATACGATATGCAAGGCGTCAAGCCCCACACATGCTTGCAATGAACAAGCGATCGACTACACTTTGGGTTTTGAGGCCGGCTGCTTGAGCTACGACGCTTTACATGCCGCCTTCTCAAGCTTCACATCCGGCCAAGCATGGTGCCGGTCTTATTTGGTGGTTGTTCAAAGAAAGCTGGCTCTCTCATAGCACCAAGATACGAGGGGGTGTTTTCAATAATCATTTGGCATGCCGCCTGTTGTATGATGTCGATTGCTGAGCCACTTGTATATAGCTTGCATATTCACAGGTGGCTTATTATGCCGCTTGTGTTTCTAATTCATCTTCAGTTTTCCACTCAGCAAGGAGTCTATCAAACATACGGCTTTCGCCCCTTGCTTGTGCTACTGTCGGATGCTTTAATCATAGGTGCCCATGCTCCACCTTGTACTTTGTCAATGATTTCAAAGGCCGGCTGGTTCTGCCGTGATGTGCCGGTTGGAGTTTGAGCTGCCGCCTGCTAGCCTATTTGTGAGGACCAATGAAGGTGCCATCGAAGTGGACATGCCGGCTGAAGCTAGGTGACTAGCGCATGATGCCGGTTGCATGCTATTTACGTGCTTGGCATTATTTAGACAAAAATGATCATAAGACTCGGCCCCTATTTAAAGAGTATGAAGACCCACTTTTGCTCATGCCCTTTCAACCAAGTGTCGGTTGTTTAAGGTGGTCTAGCTGGGACTGGGCTTGAGTCTTAAAGAGCACTTGTGGCCGCCTGTTTTCATTAACAAGGGTGGCCGACTATTTGATTTTATTGAGCGTCTGAGCACTGAATGCCGGCTGAAATAAGAGCAATGAGGATTCCCTAACTTAGCAAGTTGAGTTATATACTCTTAGGCTCATAAATTTGGCTTGGATGATCACTTCATGCGGCTCTTCAAACACATGGATACATACTTGGTTGGACGAATGGATAGCTTAGCACCTACTTGGCATGTACTCGTACCCAGCATCAACGTCAAATCTCAGCATGATATTTGAACTTAGCACGATAATTGTGTTTCATGTGCCGCATGTTTTACTATGGCTAGCTTCTTTGGTTGCAAGTGCCCCCTGCTAGCTTGAGCTACGACACCTAGATGCCGCCTGCTCTCGAATGCTTTGACCATCTGAACTCAGCCAAGCCGGATGTGTTTTAGAGCCGCCTCCTTGCTGTGTTGCTAGGACTAGGCTGGCTGTCTATAGACATACAAGGGACTTGTTGTTGCGTGCATACACATGGTGGTTGTTTCTTTACAAACAATAGCAATGTGTCGTTTGATTCTTGATGTTTACCCATGATACTATGAAATTTCAAAAAGCACTCATTTTGAGCTTACATGGTGCTTTGGTAAGGATGTCGAGCTGCTCTTCTCAATGGAGCTAACTTTCAAAATTTTATTCGGCCACATGATGCCGTATGATCAGCTTGCCGCTTGTTTTAATTATGTTTTGATCGTGTTGGGCATTATTTAGACCAAAGTGATTCAAGACTCGGCCCTCATTACAAAACATGAAGACCCATATCACCTCACGCATTGCTTGATGCGTTCGCTGTGGATGCCGCCTGCTTTCATGAAAGACAAGTGGTTTGTTGGATTTACTTGATGGCTAAACAGCCGGTTTCAATGCTTCCCATACATAAATACAGCTGCCTAGCTGCCTATTTTTTACATACACACGAACTCATTCGTCTCGGCCTTTTGAGTTGCTTGTTCTTGAAGTGATCAATCCGGCTGTTTGGTGGCTCGGATTGGGCTGGCTGTTTAGGTGTCGCCTACATTAGCATGGCTAGCTGATTTGTCATGCTTCGTGGCTAGGACTAGGCTGGTTGTCATCTGGCCGCCTGCTTCCTTGGGCGAGACGCCAATGCCCAGCTTTCACAATAAGAGACTAGCACATGAACAAGTTAAAGCATTCACTCTCATGGCCAATTATATTACTACGAGCCAAGCGCTACTCCTCTCGGCAGGCCGAGAGATTTTTATATGTGCGAGTATTTTGGCTGTTTGCTTTTGGAAGAACAAGCTGGAACCAAACTCATTTGTATCAAGTATACTTGGCATTATATTTTGAGCAAAAACCTTGCGACTGTACCTTGATAAAACATCATATAGAGCCGGTTGTTTATGCGAGAATGAGGGCTGCTCTTATGGTTGCCGCCTAAAAGCTCAAAGGATCGACGTTGGCATGCCACTACTGCACTCACAGTCGGGCCTTTATCGAAGGAAAAACAGCAGGCTTCCTAGACATGTAGAACAACCGACCGAGGAAGCTGTTCGTGACAAGCATCATGGGAGCCGGCTATGTATATAGCGATGTGGGCTGGTAGTTATGACACTACTTATGCCATTTGATAATATCAAATGCTAAGATTAACTTTGTAGTAGGTTGCCACCTAAGGCTCTTAGGTGGAGAAGCTTGACCGTCTGACTCTTTGCATTCGGCCGTATGACGCCTGCAGTAGTTGGCCGCCTGGCCGGATGCTCGGAGGCTGGTATATTGCCGGTTGTACCCAGTAGTTTGATGCGAGGCGCATGTAACTTCAACTGGGAGTTGTTTGATCTGGCCGACTATTCCTTTGGTGGAGCAGTCGCCTTTTTATTGACAAGCTCTTGGATCTTTCCCTTGAAAGTACTCATGAGAGCCATGAGTTCTGTCCTAGTAATAGGAGCAGATCCTTCGGCCGCCTACTGAGTCTCAGGCGGTGGGCCGGCTGGCCGACTGGGACCAGGCTCTCGTTCCCTCCTTTCGGTAGGACGGGTGCGTCGGGCCCTTAGGGTCCCGTCTGAAGCTGTGTGAGCTTCAACTTTAAATTCTTCCTCAGTATCATGGTCCGACTGAACTTGAGGGTCGTCTAGGGGACGCCTCTCTTCAGGAGTCGGTACAGACGTGGATGCCATCTCAGAAGTACTCTCCCCACAGACGGCGCCAAATGTTTCGGGGTTTTCTGATGTCCTGCGGGAGAGTTACAATTCCGAGACTGGTATCCTTGCGCCTGTACCTGCAAAACAACGGAGACTCCTTGTGGTGGGAGCTCCGCCTCCAACGATCAAGTTAGTACTTGTTTGAGGAGTAATAAATGCGGAAAGTAAAGGTGGGAGATCTGGTTCCTCTAGGTGAGGAGTGATCAATGTGTTTAGACTTCTCTAGGTGAGAGTCATCAATTGCTGAATCTCCTTTAATGAGGATTAATTAAGTATTTATAGTCTCGAGAAGCGTGCCAATCCTAGGTTTAGGTTAACCAGGGAAAATTGGGCTTCTCTCGGACTTTGGGCCTTGGTGGCCACTTTTGCCTATTTGGCATGTGGGAGGCCACGTGGCGTGGCCTGATTAGTCCATGTTGGACCTCTTAGGGTGACAAGTGGCGGACGCTGATTGGCCCACGTGGTGGACACGTGGCAGGTCCGGATTGGTCCATTTGTCATGGGTAATTTTACCCTAAACAAACACAATGCTCAAGGTCATAATTATGGCAGAAATAGTAGAGAAATGAGTGTTGAAGAAAAAAGACAACTAGTTGATGAGATTCTGCTGAACATGGAGGGGGACTCATTAGCAAGAGGGTTTTTATCCAACTTGGCAAGAAAATATCATGTTCACATATCAACAACAACAAGATGGTTCCAAGTAATTAAAAATCACATAGAAGAGGGACTTGTTGTAGATGTTAGGACCAAAAAATTCGGCAGAAGTGGTCCCAAACCTAGAGAAGTCATTGATGAATTTCTCACATCAGTCCCCTTGTACAAGAGAACCACAAAGAGCGGGTATGTTACAGCCCTCCATATTTCAAAGTCCACATTGCATAGGTTAAGGAAAAAGGGTAGACTAAGAACACACACAAACACCAATCACCCAGCACTAACAGATAATCATAAGATAGCAAGACTGAAGTGGGTTCTTAGTCATATCAACCCTATACCAGCTGAAGGGGACCCCACCTTCATAGATATGCAGCAAGTAATACACATTGATGAGAAGTGGTTCTATCTAAAACCAGAAACAATGACATTATATCTTTTTCTTAAAGAAGAAGACCCATACAGAGCACAACAGTCAAAGAGGTTCAAGGTGAAGGACATGTTCATGGGGATGATAGGCAAGCTAATGTATGATGAATACAAAAATCTGCTGCATGATGGGAAGTATGGGCTGTTTCCTTTTTTTAAGTATGAAATGGATAAGAAAAGGCAAAAACAGAGACAAGGGCACATTAGAGACAAAGGTTGTGCAGAGTATAAACAAGGAAGCAATTAGGGACATGCTACTGAACCATGTCATTCCAACACTACATGAGCAATGGCCCTCACACCTGCCCAAGGATATTACCATCTAGTGGGATAATGCTAGACCACACCAGATTCCACAAGATGCAGAATTTCAAGCAGCCACACAAGCAAATGGTTTCAACATACAGTTCATTTTTCAACCGGCACAGTCACTAAATATGAATGTTTTAGATTTAGGACTCTTTAAGGTCATTCAGTCACTCCAATACCAATCATTTCCTAAGAATCTAGATGATCTTATCAAGGAAGTGGACAGAGCATTTGCAGAATTTGATCCTACTCTAAACAAGTACACATGGATCACACTTCAATCATGCATGGTTGAAGTACTAGCAAGGCAAGGTGGGTGTTTCGGGGTTTTCTGATGTCCTGCGGGAGAGTTACAATTCCGAGACTAGAACCGGACGCCTGTACCTGCAAAACAAACGGATGCTCCGGATGATTAGAGATCCGCCTCCGACGGTCAAGTTAGTACTTGATTAAGGAGTAATTAATGCGGAAATTAAAGTGATTGGGTCTCTCTAGGTGAGAGTATTAAATGTGTGTAATCCCCCTTAATGAGGATTAAGGGAGGTATTTATAACCTTGGGAAACGTGCCAATCCTAGGTTTATGTTAACCTAGGGCTGATTGGGCTTCCCTTGGAAGTTAGGCCTAGGTGGCCGGTTTTTCCATTAGGCATGGAGGATGCCACGTGTCATGACATAATAGGTCCAAGGTGGACGAATAGGCGTGTGCCACGTGGCAAACCCTAACAGTTCCAACTGGTGGACACTTGGCAGGATCTAATTGGCCCACGTGGCGCATTTCGATTGGTGGGAGCAAAATCCCCTAATCATTTGCCCCTCACAGGTGGCACGTGACTGGTCACGTGTTACCTGTGACAGGTGTCGCATTGTGACAGGCGACGGCCTGCCACAAGTGTCACTCGGCGAAAGGCCGAGAGATTCTCCCGCCCAAATTTGAATTGTGAAAGTGACCCTTCGCCTTCTCACTTCGCCTATATAAGGGAGTGTTGACTTCAGTCATTTTCACACTTAAGAACTTTTTATAGAGAACATTCGGACCCCTGAACTTGCTCTGACATTTCGGACTCTTTCTGCCCACCACCTGCTCTGACAAGCCGACTGCACAAGATTTTCAGAACTCCATCAACTTCACTCGTTCAGGTAACCGTCGGTTCTCTTACTCTTAATTTTCTTTTTATTTTATTCTTTTTTGAAATGGCCCACGAAAGCACACGACACGACCTAGGTTAGTGATCAGCCGATCACCGGGGACGGCTGAATCTAGGACTAGGAGTGCCGCCTGCCCTTTTCCGGACCCATCTTTGCCCTTTATACAAAGTCCGACTGTCTCTGTGTCTATGCAGAACATGATGGCCAGAACAAAAAGAACTGCTAGGATTTCGAACTCAGACGGCTCCTCCCACAGGGTGCCGATTAGTGAAACATCTGACCAGGCGCCAGATGTGGAAGTGAACCAAAGCGGCTTGAAAGCCGACAGTTCTGAGGGAGGAGTCAAAGTGACCCCTTCCAATTTTACAGTTAACAAGTCTACATTCTCTCATGCTCCTTTTGAAGGAGAGGAGGCGGGCCCTTCTGGGAGAAGGGAGGAGTCGTCCTCTTCGGACTCGTCAGAGGACGAATCCGAATCTAGCTCTTCTGGTCATACTTCTCTGGACACAGAAGAGAAAAACTGCCGCCTACAAGAGGCGAGGCTTTCTCACGCAGTTGAGAAGGGGGACAATTGGGCGGAACCATCCGCCTCTTACCGAGAGCAAAATACCCCCTACTACTGCACTGTCCCACGTGGCCGGATCACGGCTATGCAAGAGAAAGTGGGGAGCTTTATTGTGAACCACACAATGGGCCCCGGCTTCTTAGTTTTCGTGCCGGATCCAGAAGACACATTCGTCTGGCCGGCTGGTACTAGTTATGATGGCGCTTGCTTTGGCTGTTACGAGGCGGCCATCAAGGCTGGGCTGCGCTTCCCACTACATCCGGCTGTTCAGCGGATCTTGGATGGGTATGATTTGGGGTTATGGCAGTTAGCCCCGAACTCCTGGGTCAACGTACTCGGCTATGTGGCCGGGTGCGAACTGCACGGGGTGGAGCCGAACTTCGAGGCTTTCGCCCACATGAACTACCTCAACCAGACCCCTAAGGCAGGCGGTACCGGCTGGTATCAATTAACGAGCCACAGAGGCTACCTCATGACAAGAGGTAAAGCAAACAAGTGGAAGGACTGGCGAAGCACCTTCCTTATCATTGAGAGTTCAGACACAAAGCTGAACAAGCGCTTCAACAGGTGGAATAGGAATCCGCCTCTTCTTGCAGGCGGCCGCAGCATGCCGCCTGTTCCCCCCAAAGCTAAGAAAGAGATCCTGGACAAAGGACTCTTTAAAGTAGAGTCGAGGGTCGACTCTACTTCAGGGGTACGAGAGCAAGTACCCCTGCACTGCGTCCCGAGCTTCAAATGGCTCTACGACGAGTACTTTTTGGCCGCTTGTGGCCTCAGCAGTCGGTGCTCAAGAGGTAGCCGGCCTGTCGAATACTTTGTTTTGCCATGCATTACTCCTTACTGTTATGACTTTTTATTAACTTTGCTATTTGTTCTTGCAGCGGACGCCATGAGCAAAATTACCGCCTCCAAGACTGCGGCGGCCATGTTGCGGGCCTCCATCATGCAATAGTCCTCAACCGACTCCCCCAACAAGGGGGCGCCCTTGGTGAGCTTCGAACCTTTCACTCTTTTTGGAGTTGGGTTTATGCATATAGTGACCGAGTGTTTTTGTTTTTTTTTTAGTCGGGCACTCCAAGAGCCTTTTCTTCCCAACAGCCGGACTCCAAGACCCGGAGGACGACTGTTGCGAGCTCTCCTAGTTCTGCCAGGAAACATGCGGCGGCTGAGAAACAGCCGTTCATTCCTTCTAAAACTCCAATCGGGCCGCCTAGAAGTATGAAGCTTTCCTTGTGAATTTAGACTTGCTCCCTTCTTTACTAGGTCTAACTCGTTTGTTTAAGATTGATGCAGCCGGCCCTCAGGAGCCAGACTTGGTCGAGGTGGTCAAGTCTATGATCAAAGTCGTCCCTCCGGCTGAGAGGGAGGCAGTCAGGGGTGTCGGCACCCTTGACCTAGACGGGATTGCAGGGGTCCTTGTTGAGGTATACTTAGCATATTTTTGGTTATTTAAATTCCAGGACGCCTGTTTTTTGTTTGAAAACTGACGCCTGTTCCCTTTTACTTAGGCCCTGCTCCGAGTGAACGGCCTTCGCAAGCCGCTTGACAGGAAGAACAAAGAGGTAAAGGTTGCAAAAGCTATGGCCGCCTCTGACTGTGATAAGGCAATGTTTCAAATTGCCCAAAATGAGGTTCTGACAATTGACATTCTTTATTATCAAGCGCAGGCTACTTCTGCTATCCGGGCTCAGTTAGAGGCGGCCCAGAAGAAAAATAGTGAGCTGGAGGCGACCATCAACAATCTCAAGGCCGAGCTGAGTCCTCTTCGCCAAAAAATGTCCTCCTACGACACCTTGGAGAAATCCTTGGCACACGTTAAGGAGCGCCTGGTGACCCAGGAGAAGAGTCTTACTTAGGAGCTCTCGGAAAAGGCCGAGCAAGAGAAGAAGGAGCTGGTCCGAGAGATGATGGAAGACTCTGCTCAGATCCAGCGCCTGACCTGGGGCCGCCTCTTCCCTAATGTCGACTTTTCCTCCTGGGAAAAAACGTACCGCCAGTGTTCTGATAGATATAATCAAGAGATCATGGCGGCTGCTGAGGACGAGGCGTTAGAGGAGGAGGAGCCGGTAGTGGCGCTTGTGCCACTTGGGGGGAATGCATCGAAGAAAGATGCAGCTGAAGCCGAGTCCAGCAAGAAGAGTGCGGACCAGGCGGCAGCTGCTACTATTGAAGATCTGCCCCCCTCTTAAGCTTTATGTCTTCTTTTCACTGCCTACGTGCCGTTTGTTTCTATTTACCCGGCCAGGGGGCCGAGGTTTTGAATATTTTGCCGGTCTTAATGACCGGCTTCTTTTGTATCTTTTACCCGGCCAAGGGGCCGGGGGTATGTTTATTTATGCCAAAAATGTTTTGTTTCAAATTTGTCTCGATTTTGCTAAGTATCAAAACTTTGATATCCAATTGCGTATTATACCGACTGTTTTGCATGGCCGATAGTTGCGGACAGGTACGAGATAGTTAGTCACGCCACCTATGCCCCTGGACGACTGGTTGTCTGTTTCCAGGTTAAGCGATCAGTCGGCCACTTTAAAGAATGAATCTCCTTCAACCAAGTAGGGAGGTGGTTCCCTACCTGCCTTGTTTGTTTATTTGTTTTTTAGGCTAGAGACTCTAGTCGGTCCAGGCCGACTGTTCCCCGCCACATTTAATCTAGTGTGAACAGGCGCTTGTATGAACACCTTTCTAGTTTCATACTAAATTTTTAAGGAATGACCAAGTAAACATAATTGTTACCAAGTCGCCGAGTGACTGAGTAGTAGAGGTTTCAAGCGGTGGGTACCGGTTGTTCCCCTTTATTTGCCAATTTTTGTTGGCTATTAACTCATAAGATACCGACTGTTCTTATCCCAAGTAGTTCAGTCGGTTTGGTTGATACGGATGGTTACTGCGAACACTTGTTTGACCTGATTAGTCAGTTAAGTGAGAGGTATCCTTGTCCGGGAAACGGCTACGTGGTTGTCTTGGTTAGACAGTCGTATAGGTGCCGTGTAATGATTTTAAAGAACAATGTTCCACCCAAAAGGGAGCTGCTCTCTACGACGAATTTCATCCGGATGGATGTCGTCGGACGCCTTCTATAATGTTGGGACAGGTCGAATTAAACTTATATTTGGATCAGTTGGCTTGGCGCCTGGTCTGATCATTTTAGCTACGAGCCTTTGATAGTTCTTGGTGAACTGTGTTATGGGAGAGTAGCCGGTTTTATAAAACAAGCGGCGTGCCCCTC